CGAAAACCTGGGAACATGAGACACCTCCACAATGGAATACAACATTTCACTCTGTACTTGCCAAGAATGTCGGGGAATTCGAGCACCGTCTCTGGACGGACGAAAAAATGCACACGTTTCTCCAAAATCACGAACCCGACTTCTATACGAATACATATATAAAATATAAATACGACATGCAGCGTGTCGACTCATTTCGCTACGTTGTACTTTATCACTTAGGTGGTATTTATATTGATATGGATAACGGCTGTAATCGTCCTTTCAAACACTTGGTAGCTACGTTGGAGGCACTCGATCCAGATTCACCTCATCTAGCCGCTTTTCCTCGAAGTGAAGCATTCGGCGTTGAAACGGATTTGCTGATTAGTACTGCCAGGCACCCATTATACAAGAAGCTTATTTCTCACTTAGCACTATTTAATCATTATTTTCTTTTCCACTTCTGGACTATATTAGTTAGTGCTGGTCCTATCTATGCATCAATTCAAGAACGTCTATTTAGCTCCTCGTCGCAGCGAGAGGCTGTGCGCCATTTAGACTATAAAGTCTTTCAACCAATGTTCATTTGGAAAGAAAAAGGACTCACATGGGTTGCCAAAGATTCTCAATTTTTATCGTTTCTTAGCGCTAACGCCAATTATCTTCTCTTTTACTGTAAACTATTTACTGTCTCGCTTGTAGTTCTTCTTTTTATAAGATGGTACAGAGAAAAAAAAGCAAATCATTGAGTGTTACTTGAGGCTGCTTGACGATCACGTGAGAATCAGCAGCCTCATACTTGCCACTCGAACTCGAGTAAATACTGATTCTAATAAATACAGAAAACAGCTTGTTTTGGTTTTGAGTTGTTCGAAAGAGGGCGTGGTTGTGTCAGCGCAGGTGAACTTGGATGTGAATCTCATGTCTGAGGCCCACACCCACATCTCGATATAGTTTTTGATGCCGTTAGCGTTCTCGCTTAGGAAGAGCGACGAACACAGTGAAGAGGGTCGGGCAACGTTTTGATCGAAGAGAAAAATGATAATTCTCATTCGAAAAATGACTCCTAGGTCAAAATTGCTTCATCATGATAAAAAGAAAAAATTCATTTCAATCGAAAATCCTGCATAAGGAACATTTCTTCTGCTTAGTTCAGCGTAACCTATAGAAAGTCCAGCGGAAAAATGAAGAATAATGCTATGACCTAAAGGAGAGTTGTTAATACTGAAAGGAATAATGTTTAGTTTAGTTAAGTGTTTTATATATCGTCCAGCGGAAAAATGATGATAGTAATGGGGAAAGGAATGACTTAGTTTGGAGTAATATTGCAGTTTGTGGAATATGGTATCTGTCAACTTTCTTGTGGTATATGCTCTCTGAGTGGAGTAGTCTATTTACACGTCGCGATTTTTCATTCGATCTGCGAGATCTTTTTGGTATAGCTTTGGTTCGAATGGATGATGCTTGCTTTGAATCATCTCTTTTTTCCCCCCCTGAAAAGAAATTAAGAAGGTCTGCAGAACTATTTTTGGTTTTGAAGAGTTTTTGGAACTATTTCAAGTGCTCTCTGATAGAAGAAAAACTCTAAATAGGCTCTGTTCAAAAGATCACAACTATCGAGGTTCTGCCAAAAGATTTAGAACGCTTCAGAGTTTTTAATCCAGATATGCTGAACCAAGCAGGTTCTGCCAAACCATACGAAACTACGCAAAGTTCTGATCAAAAATTCTAAACCATTTAATGTTTTAAATAAAATGATGCTGAGCTTTAACGTTTCTGTCCAACAATATATGGAACCATGAAAGGTTTTGGCCAAAAATCCTAAACCATTTTAAGAGAGGGTTCACGAGTCCATCGAGCATCATTCGAGTATACGAGGCACTTGATAATTTTTTTAATGTTTTTGCTCATTCAATGCATCAATATGTCTAAAACCATCAACCCCAAAATTTTGGGTTTTAATACCTTTCATTTGAAAAGTTAGCCAATACCAACGTTTAGCACTGAGTAAATCCATAGGAAACGTACCACTTTATCCACGACTTTCTTGAAATAGGCTGAAAATTGCAGAGTTTTTAGAGCTCGGTGTGGGTGTGGGTGTGGATGGATAAGTATGACCATGGCTGTGGAATGAGCAGAAGAATCACACCCACCCCTTTATATAAATTAGAAGCTAATTATCGTGATAAAATAAAACGCAAATTAATTTATGTTCCATCGTCAATGATAAAATCATTACTTGTTTCTTATCATGATAATCCTTTAATTGGCAATCATTTTGCAGTTAAACGAACATTAGATAAAATTCATCAACAATTTTGGTGGTCGAATATGAAAAATTCTGTTATTGACCATATAAAATCCTTTATTGTTTGTCAAGCTTATAATACTAGTCGACCAGCTAATCTTCCAATTGATCATCCACCAACACCATTTACATTTCCTCAACATCATGATTATTTTCATCAACGTGTTTGTAATTTAAAACATTATCAAGATGCTGTTAAACAAAATATTTTAAATCAACATAAACACTCAAAATCCCGATACGATAATTATCGGGAAAATTCACAATATGATATAGTTACAACAGTTTTAACTTGTATTCTTAACAACAGATAAAAAATAGATCCGAAGTTTTCAGTTACTCCGAAATTTATTGTAAACAAATAAAATCCGGTTTACTGGGTTCAAGATATGAACTCAAAAATAACATTAACAGTTCATATTAATGATACAAGACCATTACTGGAGCATATTATTTAATATGACACTCGAATAAATTTATTTTGATTAATGCTCAACTTAATTTATCATGCATCATATGTTATTATTAGGGGTGCGCCGGTTTCGGTCCCGACCGGTTCCGGTTTTAGAACCGAAACCGGTGGAACCGGTCGAAACCGAAATAAGAACCGTTTGGAACCGGTCGGAACCGGTGGGAACCGATATTGGAACCGGAACCGATCAGAACTGGTCGGAACCGGAATTGAAACCGGTAAGAACCGATTGGAACCGGTATCGGTTGATACTATGGATAGAAAAATCAGTAAAGTGAAAAATTCAATCATCATTTATTGTAAAGATAATATTTGATTTTTCTCTCTCTATATAACGACAATTCGAATTCTTAGCATTAACCCCCAGTGAAAGTCTGTGTTGTGTGAAAATTGCTGAATATTACTCTATTACTGGTAATATTTCGAGTAAACTTTCTATGTGATAAAGTATGAGTTAGTTCAGAGTATTCTGAAGTCGTTTTATATCTAGAAAGTATAGATCTGCGCTAAATCATGATTCCTACCTAAATGACATATGGCAGGAATCCACCTTCTATCCATCTTTTGATGACTTAGTAATAGAATTGGGTCTCACTGAACACATTGAGCAATACCAATTACCGACCGAAATTCATTAAGACAATGGTGGCATTTTAAAACTATTATTTACTTGAATGATGAATAGCAAGTTTCGATATTTCCACACGAAAGACTTGGTTCCATTGATTGATATTCACTCCCAAAGTCTTAGATCGACCTTTCTATAGAAATTACTATTTTCCGGAAACCTGTCGCCTTGGCAACAACACCAAACTCAAAATTTTCTATATTCATGTTATCGAGTGATTAGTCTGACTAATGATAACTTCTTATCCGAGACTAAGACGAATTCTAATCAAGTGAAGATAAATACAAACCAATTTTATTGTCACAAATTTCCAATCAATTTAAGTTTAGAGGTAAAGTGATCTACTCCTACGTAGAATACACTAATAAGCGATAAAACTGATGGTAATTGTTAGTCAAAATAGATACTTTAAATTAATTTAGAAAGAGATGGTCCAACGGAAAATAACTTGAAATGATTCATCATGAATATTATATGATTTTCTTTACTTGGAGAAGATAAATATTTATTTTTCTGTTTATAGATTCTGTTCTGAAATTGAGTGCGCTTGTAAGAAACCAAAATTAATGCGAGCCGATGTTCAGTTTCTTCTCACATTTGTTAAAATAAACCATTACATCGTATTTAGCTCGTGTAAGGTCTAGAATGAGGAGCATAGGAAAGCCTTTTAGCCTAAGTTGACTGATACTGATAAAAATGAATAGAACTATTTCACTTGGTACTCAGAAGTGGTACAAATGCACCAGCACGTGATCATCAAATAATCTCAAAATATCCAATTACGGAATTTTTGTACATGAGGCATAGAGGCAAAAGAAATACTTTTCTTTATTTGAAAATATCCCTATAAGTAAAAATAAAGAGAATAAGTGAAAAATAGATTTTTCACTTATGTTCTGATGTCATCAAACATAAATCCAACGATTAAATAATATAATGCATTAGAAAAATACAATAAACTGATGTTCTATTTTTCCTGTAACAAATGTTTATATTCTTTCTGAAACAAATTTTTATTATATTCAGCAAAGTATAATGCATATATTCTTCTGATCGAAATAATGTGGATATTAAAAATAACGTATATTCAATGCGTTTCATCTCTCTTTAGTACATATTCGATACAAAAAAAGTAATGTTCGTTATTCACTTATGGATGTAAATATCTGTATGATGTATAGAATGTACTGAACGAATACTTTGTCGTCCGATAGAAAGAAAGCTCGAAAGATGTAGTCACCTTTTGCTATCGAGTTCTACACAGAAATGAATATAAAGTTATTCAAAGTCCTCATTGTGTTTGATGTAAAAATTTCATTTGAAACTACATTTATTTAATACAAACTGTTCGAATACTCATTGAGTGAATCAATGAAATTTTTCCATCTGAAGCTTATGATACTTAACATCGATTTTTACTGTTAAATTTAAACCGTTCATCATACTAACATACCTGTAACACAGAAATGCTCGGGAGAAGTATTTGTATCAGTATTTTAGCGTGTCACAGCTTTCTGTTTATATGAACTCGAAAAATATAGTAACGTAGACAACTGGTTTATGAAACTATTAAGCATTTCGTTCTTTTTTTTTTGACTTCGTCAAACAAAAATTTCAGCAACGAAACAAACAACATAAGGCAAATCTATTGAGAATCAATCTAATGTTTCATGATCATATTGACTAACAGAAAAAAAGGCAGACAGAAAAAATACATATTTATCTTTTTCACGAAAAAAAAACTCGTATAGTATTCATGATGAAAGAATTTGAGCTAAATTTATTGCAGCCAATTGAATTTTCTTTCTTTACCTTTTATTTTTATTTCTATAATTCTCTTGCTTATTAAAATATTATCTATGACGAAAAGATAAGCATTCACTGTATCTTTTGGTATATATCAAAGGTCCAAACAGGCCCGCTTTTTGAAGGCTTGGCCTACCTGTGACAGGCTTACATCCCTCCTAGCCTGCCTGTGCCTGTTCTCTGATTTTCTCAGCCTGGCCTGCCTGTCTGTCATTTTCTCAGGCCTGCCTGGGCCTGCCTGTCTAGGCCTGTGTATTTTTTTCACGTCAATATCACGATACAAGTACCATAGAAAGAAGTAATAATCTTCATAAAAAGTCGTACTAGTCACTGAATTTCAATCTCCATCACTACATTGAAAAGTCTCTAATTGAAAAGTCCATGAGAATTGTCAGCTTTCCAATTAAACAAAGGTATCATGCTTCTTTATAATTGAGAGCATGTGAAACTAAGGGTAGAACAAAGACT